TACAGTAGTCGAGCCTTGAGGTGACAAACGCGTGAATGAGTTTTTCCGCGTCACTTTTAGGAAGGAAATTCCTAATTTTAGCAATGTTCCGTAAGTGGAAGTACGCCGTTTTAGTTGCTTGGCTTATATAAGCCTTGAAGGAGAGTTCTTGGTCAAAAATGACTCCAAGATTCCTCACAGTGTTACTGGGTATTATACTGACATTATCGAGAGTAACCATCTGGTTAGTGAGGGAGTCACGCAGGCGCTTCGGACCGAGTAGGATCACTTCTGTCTTCTCCGGGTTGAGAAGTAGGAAGTTAAGAGTCATCCACATTTTAAGGTCCTTTATGCAGGCACTGAGCTTTTCTAGCTGATCTGTCTGATTAGGCTTCATCGACAGATAAAGCTGTGTGCCATCTGCATAGCAGTGGAAATTAATTCCATGCTTTTTAATAATGTTTCCCAGTGGCAGCATGTAGAGAGTAAAAAGCGTCATTGTCGAGACTCGCACCGACAATGACACCTGCATCACCGAGACTGCACTGCTGCCTCTAGACTCATCCATGCCATCGTTATGCAGTTATCAATCCCACCGTGTAGAGCCAGGGAATTATCATTAAGAAAACAGGTGTTAGCATGAAAATGAGCGATTAGCAATTAGCAAATCCAGTGTGCAGCAAGTGGTTTTTTAATAATGTTTGCAGAGAAAGCCCTGGAAAAAGGCTCATCACCTCATAGTCTCAGAACAATCATAGTCTCAGAACAATCATAGTCTCAGAACAATCATAGTCTCAGAACAATCATAGTCTCAGAACAATAGTCTCAGAACAATCATAGTCTCAGAACAATAGTCTCAGAACAATAGTCTCAGAACAATAGTCCCAGAACAATCATAGTCTCAGAACAATCGTAGTCTCAGAACAATCATAGTCTCAGAACAATAGTCTCAAAACAATAGTCCCAGAACAATCATAGTCTCAGAACAATCATAGTCTCAGAACAATCATAGTCTCAGAACAATCATAGTCTCAGAACAATAGTCTCAGAACAATAGTCTCAGAACAATCCTAGTCTCAGAACAATCATAGTCTCAGAACAATCATAGTCTCAGAACAATAGTCTCAGAACAATCCTAGTCTCAGAACAATCATAGTCTCAGAACAATAGTCTCAGAACAATAGTCTCAGAACAATAGTCCCAGAACAATCCTAGTCTCAGAACAATCATAGTCTCAGAACAATAGTCCCAGAACAATAGTCCCAGAACAATCCTAGTCTCAGAACAATCATAGTCTCAGAACAATAGTCCCAGAACAATCCTAGTCTCAGAACAATCATAGTCTCAGAACAATCATAGTCTCAGAACAATCATAGTCTCAGAACAATCATAGTCTCAGAACAATCATAGTCTCAGAACAATCATAGTCTCAGAACAATCATAGTCTCAGAACAATAGTCTCAGAACAATAGTCTCAGAACAATCCTAGTCTCAGAACAATTGGATTCTGCTCTAAATGTAGTATTCTGCATGAAAAACACCTCTTCATGTCGATGTGTTTGCTGTAAATCCTAAAATGCAGAATGATAACACCATCCCAACGTGTTTATTTTGATTTTACACATATGTTTACACAATTCAAGAAGTTGTGGAACATTGAAAACAGTGTTGATTTTAAAATATGATCTACATATTATAATACAGAGATTTGTAAAAACTGGGCTGGTCCACAAATGTTTTTAGTTAAAATATAGATATAGACTTCTTTATTCCCTGTTTGTACAATGACAAAATGTTAAATCTTGGTGAGATTAATATATAAAAAAATAACAAAAATGCTTATTTTTTCATGAAAAAGTGTTTGTTGCTTTACTGTAGTTTGTCCTAAGATAATTTTCCTAGTTTTAAAATACTTCATAATCTTAATAGAGAAAACAGTCTGAGCAGTTAGTTTATTTACAGACTTTTCTTGTTTGGATAATACAGTATATGTTTGTGATGCTGTATTTAAAGAAAACAGATAAATAAATAGGTAGGTAGATACTTTATTTACAGCTGCAGAAACTCATCCATCCATTAAAAATAAACACATAAATCTAAAAGCTACAAAAACAAGCACTTCAGACTTACTGTTTCCAATTAAAAAGTAAATATATTCTATGTTTGAGGTTGCCATCCCATTATGAAAGACTTTAGTAGGTCACATGAACGTCTCTGACATGAAACTGGGCCAGTTTGCAAATGTTTAGAGATATATAAATAGGTAGGTAGGTAGGCAGGCAGTTGGGTAGCTTGGTAGGTATGTACGTAGGTAGGTAGATAGGTATGTAGATAGATACCGTATATAGGTTGGCTGGTAGGTAGGTAGGTAGGTAGGTAGATATATACAGTAGGTTGGTTGGTTGGCAGGTAGGTTGTTAGGTAGATGTGTAGGTAGGTAGATATTTAGGTATGTAGGTAAGTGGATAGAAAGGTAGGTATGTAGGTCGGTAGATATTTAGCTATGTAGATAGGTAGGTAGGTAGATATCTAGGTATGTAGGTAGATATATATAATGGTAGATAGATAGAAAGGTAGGTAGGTAGGTTGGTAGATAGTTAAATAGGAAGGTCGGTAGATATTTGGGTAGATAGAGAGGTTGGTAGGTAGGTAGTTGTATAGGTGTAGTATCTACCTATGTACCTACCTAGAGTACATACTAGGTAGGTATATAGGTGGATAAATTGGTAGGAACTTTGGAATAAAATCTAAAATACACTACAATCTGCTGGGATCCTACACCAAGACTGAAAGCGTCTCTGCCCAGAGTGACATCTGTGAACCTCTGTCAGGGCGCACTGTCGCAGAAGCTCCACAGATCCCCTGCAGACAGCTGACAAAGCCGCCCGCACGGTTAGCGACACGGCTAACAGCGGCAGAGTGCAAAGAGCATGCAAGAAAGCTATACAAACAACAGCTGTGAAACAAAATGGCGCGCAGCTTCTGTTCCCGGCTCACTACATAAAACATGGATAACAAGACAAATGCCCCCACGCTCCTCATGAATCATGCATTTCCGTGTGCGTGACTTTGGAAACAGCAGTTGTGTGGAGAGATTACCTGTCGCTGGGTTGATCAGTGCACTGCCATAGAGACGTCAGAGGTGCTAAGGTCTCTCTCTCTCTCTCTTTCTCTCTCTCTCTCTTTCTCTCTCTCTCTCTTTCTCTCTTTCTCTTTCTCTGTCTCTCTCTCTTTCTGCCATAGAGCAGTCAGAGGTGCTAAAGCGTGGAACTTTTACTCTACACAACATAAGAAATTATGTGTACAGCGCTGAAGTTATCTCACTTTTTGTGTAGAGATTTGTGTTGCTGCTGTCTCCAAGTCTCTCTCTTTAAGTCTCTCTCTATATAACTCTCTCTAAGTCTCTTCCTCTCTCTCTCTCTCTAAGTTTCTCTCTCTATATATACAGTATAACTCTCTCCAAGTCTCTCTCTCCCTATATAACTCTCTCTAGGTCTCTCTCTCTCCCTCTGTTTCTCTCTCTCTGTCTCTCTCTCTCTATAAAACTCTTTCTAAGTCTCTTTCTCTCCCTCTCTCTCCAAGTCTCTCTCTATAGATAATTCTCTCTGAGTCTCTCTCTAATGCCTCGCTCTCTCTCTCTCTCTCTCTCTCTCTCTCTAAGTCTCTCTCCCTCTCTCTAAGTCTCTATCTCTATATAACTCCCTCTCTAAGTCTCTCTCTCTCTCTCTTAGTCTCTCTCTAAGTCTCTAAGTCTCTCTCTTAGAGACTTAGAGAGAGAGAGACTCTCAGTCTCTCTCTAAGTCTCTCTCTCTCTATATATCTCTCTCTGTCTCTCTCTTTCTGCCATAGAGCCGTCAGAGGTGCTAAAGCGTGGCACTTTTATTTTACACAACATGAGAAATGATGTGTGCAGCGCTGAAGTTATCTCACAGAGCGCTCTTTTTGGAGGTGTCGAGAGATTTGTGCATGTTTGAGTTGTTACTGTCTCCAAGTCTCTCTCTCTCTCTCTTTAAGTCTCTCTCTCTATATATAAGGTTTTTCTTACTTTCCGCCTTCGTCAAGCACAGACGTGTCCTCAGACTGCTCCTGCTCCTGACTGCCTGCTGTTTCTGCACACAGCGCCGCAAATGGCAAAGTGGCACGCTCTCTGCCAAAACAATTTCCAAGTGGTAACTTTTTGTTACTTACGTGGCAATAAAAATGATTCTGATTCTGATAACTCTCTTTAGGTCTCTCTCTCTCTCCCTCTGTTTGTAACCCACATGTTTCTCTGTCTCTCTCTCTCTCTCTATAAAACTCTCTCTATGTCGCTTTCTCGCGCTCTCTAGGTCTCTCTCTCTATATATAAGTCTCTCTCTCTAGAACTCTCTAAGTCTCTCTATTTATATAACTCTCTCTCTGTCTCTCTCTGTTTTTTGTATTGTTTGACACATATCTTGACTCATTAAAAATGCAATGATTCAAAAAGTCGCACCATCGGCCCCTGACACCATCGGCCCCTGACACCCACATTGATATATCCTGAGAGTTGATCATTTCTATGACTTTTCTTCCGCAGTGACTTTGATCCAGGTGACTTTGATCCAGGTGACTTTGATCCAGGTGACTTTCTAAACTCATTCCCGCCGCAGAAACAAAGAGCAACCTCTTTGTTTCTGATCTTTCTCTGAGAATTGGCCGAAAAGTGTCTGTAGTGAACCGGGTCATGCTCCAGTGGTTCTGATGGTCCTATAAATAGCGGGAGTGGAGTGAAGGTGCGCTGAGGTGATGTCACAGGTTAATGGAACACTGCGATACTTTCAACATTTGTTCTAAAAACGGTTTTAATTTGGACTCTACGTTTAGTCCGAGGACAATGTGGACTAAGGTCGTGTCCTGCTCCTTCTTGACTCCAACACGTTCCATTCTCCGCAGGGCACACTGGGACATTTCTTATCTTTTTTAAAATTCCTTTTTCCATTTATCGTGAAACAAAAGCCATATTATGATGTTCTGAGAGACGCTCTCTTCTCTCTCCTCAGTGGCCATTATGTTGAAGGATGACTACTTTGTGCGAGGAGCGGGTCTACCGGGGAGATTCAAGGCAGAGAAAGTGGAATTTCACTGGGGCCCGAGCAACGGATCGGAGGGATCAGAACACAGCATCAACGGACATCGCTTCCCTGTGGAGGTAAGAACTAAGTCCACTTTCTACAACATGAAAGTATAATGACCTCGGACATTTATGAACGCACCCAATGAATATAGTTCTATCACACTGTAGTGTTTGTTGTTCTGTTTAGTGATGTCATCGACGACAGCGTTACCTTCAAGTGTGTTGTAGTTTATTTCAGCATCTGTGTATCATACAGCTGTGTGTCATACAGCTGTGTGTCATACAGCTGTGTATCATACAGCTGTGTGTCATACAGCTGTGTATCATACAGCTGTGTATCATACAGCTGTGTATCATACAGCTGTTTGTCATACAGCTGTGTATCATACAGCTGTGTGTCATACAGCTGTATGATACACAGCTGTGTTTCACACAGCTGTGTATCATACAGCTGTGTGTAACTCCGCCCTCTGGCCGGGCCTGTGTTCATATCAGTGCGTGGCACTATATACTACGCTACATGTTATTGGAGGTAAAAAAAATAAAAAAAGACATAGTCGGGCTTGATGCGGATTTCGGGCCTGAGGATTCAGAAACCATGTCAGGCCGGGCCGGGCTGGGGTGCCAACCCCTCGGGCCAGGGCCAGGCTCCGGCCCGTGCAGGGCTCTACATGGAATGGGTCAAATGCAGGGGAGGAATTTCCCTACAAGGACCACACATTTACACATACACAGTTCATAAATGCCAGAGTTGTCATTACAATTCAGTTATTTTAAATGTTCAAACACCGTCGTACAATGTTTCTAATAAACAATAAGTTCAAACTGCTGAACCCTGAGTGTGTTTGTACTCTCGCTGCAGCAGGACAATGATGAATATGTATGCACTAACCTTTCCAGGGCTGGATTCTGTTTTCCATCTCTGGCGTTGTGTCACTAAAGCGATGATAGATCTGCAATATTGCCCACCTACGAAAACTCCTCAGATTGTGCTGAAGAAACAAAAGCCTCTGAACGCATCAGCGAGCCATGTGAGGCAGCTCTTTTAAACCCAGAGATTTATAATATGCCATCCAAATTGATTTAGCGCGAGGACATCAGCGGGGGAAAGTTTGTGTATAGCAGTTTTATGAAGTTCCAGTGAAAATCAAGCCCTGCTCTTATATTGACTGAAGCTGGAAGTCAACGATAGTATTTCTCCAGAGACGCTCTCACACATCACTGCTCACCGGCTGCACTCGGCACACACAATATTGGCAGCAGGCTCAGGCCACAGCCTCACACACTCTTCTTCTGTGTTTGCAATAGAAAGTCTATAGTATCAAGAGGGTGGATGAGTTCATGTATAAAAGGTAAAAGAAGGAAGCTGTTTGCTCACGCTGCATGAGCCTGTGTGTGTGTGTGTGTGTGTGTGTGTGTGTGTGTGTGTGTGTGTGTGTGTGTGTGTGTGTGTGTGTGTGTGTGTGTGTGTGTGTGTGTGTGTGTGTGTGTGTGTGTGTGTGTGTGTGTGTGTGTGTGCGTGCGTGCGTGCGTGCGTGCGTGCGTGCGTGCGTGCGTGCGCGCGCGCGCGTCATGGTGTGGGTTTTAATTATTTAATAGGTTTTATTTTGACATTATTTCTCTGTGGTTTTGTTTATTTGTTTATTTATTTAGATCCCCATTAGCTACTGAAATAAAACAGTAGCTATTCTTCCTGGGGTCTTAAAAATTTCTTAACAGATATTACATCAAAGCTGTGCAACAATGAAGACAAACACAGAAGTGCACACGAACACATATACAAGGAACATGACAATACAATATAACGTATACAGACAACATATACACATACATATACACGCATATAAACACACATAAACATATATACACACACATATAACATAACATAACATAAAACAGTACAAGCTCTTCTATACAAAATATTGCCACCCTCTGGGTATTAAAAGAAAAGAAAAAAATAAATAAAATAAAAGTTACTATAGCTCATTATAAAGTACATATTAATTGCATAACTATTACAGTTACTTCAAAGTAAATAAATACAGTCTAAGTCTTTTGGAAAAACTGATATTGTGAATCTCTAAAACCAAGAATTGCGGGAGCGAGTTCCATGCCACCATTGCCCTATAGCACGATGTCCTCTGAAGTTGATTTGTTCGACAGGCAGGTAACAAAAAACGGCCTTCGCTTGATTGGCGAGTGAAATGATAATGAATGTTACTAAAAAAAGTCAATTTATTATAAATTATTTCAGGTGCTTTTAAAGTAATTGTATTTTTTAGGAATTTAATAAGAGAATAAGTGATTCTGCTTCTTACATGCAGCCATGTTAACTGGTTGTGCATGTCCCTAATACTTGTTCTAAAAGAACAGTTTAGGACAAGCCGAGCTGCTTTATTTTGTGCAATCTGTAATCTATTTATATTATTCTCTGTAGATGTTGCCCAAATGATGGAACAATAGTCCAGATGACACAACACTATTGATTCCACCAAAGTTTTCCGTATTCGAGTTGGTATGCATTTTCTGCAGTGCCGAACCGCGGCCATACTCCTGCCCATTTTATTCAATATTTGTTTTATCTGAGCATTCCAAGTCAGCCTGCTGTCCACAGTTACGCCGAGCAACTTGGCCTCAGCCACTTGTTCAATGATCGAACCACCAACAACCAAGTTCAGCACAGGGGAATCTTTTAAAAGATGATTAGATCCCAACAGCATACATTTGCTCTTCGAAACATTAATAATCAACTTATTTTCTTTGATCCAATTTTCTATTAATTTTAGTTCATCATTTAATATAGTATTAAGTCTAGTAGAGTCATAATCTGACACATAAATAGTTGAGTCATCTGCATATAGGGCAATACTGGCACACTCTAAAATGAAGGACAAATCATTTGTAAAAATAGAAAATAACAGTGGCCCAAGGCAACTCCTTTGAGGCACCCCACAATGCAGAAATTTTGTCTCAGAATAACTACCATTAAATAGTACATTGAACTCCCTATTTGTAAGATAGCTACAGATCCATTGGATTGCACACTTTTCAAAACCATAACAACTTAACTTTTCCAATAATAAGTCATGATCAATTAAATCAAATGCTGCACTCAGATCTAGCAGTACAGTCCCAACTAATTTTCTATCATCAATGTCTTGCAACCAATCATCCGTCATCTGAACTAAGGCTGTCGTTGTGGAGTGCCCTTTCTTATAAGCATGTTGATAGGGTGAATTCAACCCATTATTAGAGAAATACAAATTAATTTGATCATACACTATTTTCTCCGTAATCTTACTCAAAATTGGTAGAATACTTATAGGTCTGCTATTATTCCCAGAAAAAGGCTCCTTATTGTTTTTGGGAAGAGGCACAATTTTAGCTTTTTTCCAGTTAGCAGGAAAAACACATTTTTCTAAACTTAGATTAATAATATAGCATATAGGCATATTAATTACATCAGCAACCATCTTTAATAACTTGACATCAAGTTCATCAGAACCTGCAGGTTTATCTTTCATTGACTTTAATATGTTTTCTACCGTCTTCAGACTTACTCGGTCAAGTTTAAATGTACATGATTTATTAAGCATAATTTTTTTTTTAATTGTCTTAAACGATAAATCATGGTTTGACTTTGAAATCATGCCTTTTTGTAAATTTTGAACTTTCTTTATAAAATAATCTCCTAAATAATTTGCTATATCAACAGGTTTAGTCAAAAAAGTGTCACCCACATCTAAAAATGTTGGTACAGATTTAGCTCTCCGCCCTGTTAATTGGTTTAATGTATTCCATAATTTATTCCTGTCTGATTTTACTTCTTCAAGTTTGTATTCGTAATGAATCCTCTTGTTTGATCTGTTTAATTTTGTAACATAATTTCTTAACTGCTTATACCTTTCCCATAATGCATTATCCCCTGAGGAGATTGCATCTGACTTTAATTGATCTCTTTCCCTCATATATTCTTTAAGTTCAGCATCTAACCATGGAGAAGCAATATTTCTCACTGTCATTCGTCTTAATGGGGCATGTTTGTCAACAACTGGCGTCAATAAATTTGTAAAGACCTCCAAAGCTAAATCAGGATCTACTTCCCGTAATACTTGTGACCAGTCAATATTTCTCATATCGGCACAAAAACTAGCCTCATTGAAATACTTAAAAATCCGTTTAATTATTATCTTCTGGCCTGGTTTAGGGACTTTGGTTTTTCTATTAATTGCAATTAAATTATGATCACTGAAGCCAACACAAATTGAAATTGCTTTTGAACACAAATCTATTGCATTAGTAAAAAGTAAATCTATGCATGTCTCTGTTTTTGTCCCATCTGTTTTATAAATAATTCTTGTTGGATTTGTGACCACTTGTGACAAATTACAAGTGTCAGCTATAGACTGCAACTTATTTTTTAATGAGCAATTATTCAAACTCCAATCAATATTTAGGTCACCAAGAAAATAAATCTCCTTCTTTAAATCACAGGCTTTATCCAACATATAACAGATTCGATCTAAATAGACTATTGGCGCATTGGGTGGCCTATAGCAGCAACCAACAAGAATAGGTTTCAAGTGTGGTAACTGCACTTCCAACCACAGCGCTTCAACCCCAATACAACCGAGATCCTGTCTAATTTTTACTGGTATTTGATGCTGAACATAAAAAGCCACTCCTCCTCCATTTATATTTCTGTCACATCTATATAATAGGTAACCATTTACATGCAAAAGGGAGTCGTTTATAGTCGCATCTAAATGTGTTTCAGTTATTGCCAAAATATGCAAATTATTTCCTAGAATCCCTGTAATCTCCTGAATCTTATTTCGCAAACTACTAATATTCAAATGAGCTATTTTTAATCCTTTATTTGAGAGTATTTTATTCATCACCATTATTTATTTTACACGAATGATCACTTCTAATGAAACATATTGAAGAGCTATCAAATGAAGACAAAAGACAAAAAACACACACAACACACAAGGACACACATACACACACATTCCTACATATGCATCTCCATTTTGCCAACATTTGTCAACGACAACTAATAGGGTGTTAAGCCAACTCAGACAAACTTACTATTTTATACATAACTTCTG